TTTTTTTTTTTTTTTTTTTAATCAAAACCTGTGCAAGCAATTTTGATATAATCACCCTTATCCCATGTTATAATTTTTTGCTTGCTTAAATCAATATTGGCAGGATATCATTTACATATCTTAGGTATATGCTTCTTAAGTCCCCCAGTTCTATTTGGACCACTCTCTGTGGCAAAATCACCCTGCCCATTTGGACAATATTTGCATTTAGCCCTCTCTTTATATTCACTGACATTCTCAATCAACCCCGACTCCAAATTTTTAACCTTTCGAACATTTTTAAGCCAACACGTAGTAAAATGTTCTCAAATCGAGGATCTATATACCCTAGCCTTCATACCTGGTGAAAGCTCATAGAGAATATTTGGCCTGGTTGGCATGTTTGCGGGCACCACATGCATGGGATTTGAAGCACTTCTTGGTGTTGGTGGAGTTTCCATTGTCTGTGAATGACTCCCAGCTGCAAGAACTTCAGATGGTATTTGGAAATTAGGGTTCATGGTATTTGGGAATTATGGTTCTTATTTTGTGAATTGGGATTTTAGCACAAAGCAATAGACTTTGAACAGGGAATAGGGATTTAGGGTTTTGATTCTCAATTTGAGAACTAAACTGAAAAATGGTGATGGGGAATTGCCGATTTGATATGAGAATATGATTTGAGAACGAGAAATTGAGAGTTGTGGCGGAGAGTGTGGTTTCTGAGAATCTGAAAATTGAAAAGTGAAGGTGAACAGTTCACTAATTCACTTCACTCGTATCTTATCATCTATTTGGGGCAAATGCAATCGTTATTTAATTTTTTTGGGCCAAGTAAGATTTGGCCCAAGGCAATAAGGATTAAGACATGCAGATTGCAGAAACAACAGAACATGGAAGTATCAAATAATGAAGTTTATAATTATTCACTATATTATTAATATAAATATAATATATATATATAATATTTTTGTAAAAAAAAAATAAAACAGGACAAACGAGACGGTTCGAGATAAAAATATTAAAAACCTATACTCGCGTTGTTTATAACGGTTCGGGACCAGGAACCGGGAAATTCAATTTTTTTGCCCACCCCTATTAGAAGTCAAACAATCATAGGTTTGTAAATAAAAGTATGAGAATGGTAATTTTAAAGAAAAATATTAACTTAGTGTAAGTACAAAGCAAAAATAAAAGACAGCTGCATAAATGAACCCTAAAAATACTGTAACATATTAGATGCAAATTAAAATGCACAAATATGACATTTGTTATCTTCTGGGCTGGGACAAATAAAACAACATATATTTGAGAGAATCTTTATTTTGGCCAGTAGGGTTTTGTAAAACCCCAATTCAATTTCCACATACCTCGATTAAATTGATAAAGGCGAGCACCACCTTCTTCCCCGGAGGTCGGATTTCACTCTGCAGTCACGGGCGGCGAGCCTCTCCTCGACGGCCTCCACCGACAGCTGCCCGTTCACCTACCCCAAACCAGATTTGAAGACCAACGAACATGGTAAAAAACCAGTCTTTGTACTTGTTATCTTGTCGGTTTGCGTTCATTTTCCAGTTCTTCTCCAAGGGATGATATTTAGAGATTGTGTAGTTGAAACTATTGTATCCAAATTGGTTTTTACGCCAAAAAATGGAACCTTCATATGCCTAATCGCCGACCTAAGGCGCTTCCGTAATTTCTCTTAAAACTATTTGTGCCATGGCTGTAGTCTTACTGCATCCATAAGGTGGGTGTTTGTTGGAGTTTAGGGCAAAATTATGCTTATGTTGTTGATTATTTGATTATATTTCTGCCACGTTTGGAGTGTTTTTTCCCCTTTTATGTTGTGTATGTTAGAGCCGTTAAAATGAGTTTAGGCCAGTAGGGCGCCAAGCCTAAAAGACTGGTCGGCTGTAACTTCATAAGTGGCCTTAAACGGACCGCCAGTACGGGCCGCGGGCGAGGACGGGTCTGACCCAGTTCATATCAAATAATAAAAATCCGCACCGAACATTTTTTTTTTATTTTACTTTTTATTTTTTGGTTGTTTTTTGGTGTTGCTGTATTGTTTTGTGTTTTGTTTTGTTTTTGTGGATCAATCTTCTTATTTCTAGTTTCCTCCCGTACGGATTCAAAAAGATTGTTCTAGTTTCATCTTGTGCAGATTTGTTTTGTTTAATTGTAATTTGTGTGTTTTTGTTTGTAGGGATTGCCTTAAGAGTCAGGTCAGTTTGGACTTAGACTTGTTGCCCAAACCTTGAAGCCTCTTGTATTGTATCTCCCAGTCGCCCACTCGTCCACTCCTAGACGACGCTGTTGACTTGAAGCCATCGATCAAAAGGTGAGCTGCCTGACGCAGTTCCAACTCCCCACGGCTCGAACCGCTCTTTCGGCCTCAAGGTAAGCCAGTTCCACATCTCATATATCGACTTAGGGCTTTTCTGCTTTAGGTGAATTTTTTATTTGTCTGAGCTTGTGTCTGTTTAACTGAGATTGTGGGTTTCATTTGTTAATGAGCTTGTGAGTTGTTATTGTTACTGGGTGCATTGAATTTGGTTGTGATTCGTGACTGAGCTGATAAATAAAATTGCGACTTACAAGTTTTCTTATATAAATAGTGATATTTTAATACATTGGGCGGGCTTGCCCGAGGCGGTGCTGGGCTGGGCCGAAATTTCTTCGGTCCGTCACCCAGCTCGCTCCCCCAATGTGCAGGCTTTGACGAGGTATGGATTAGGGTCAGCCTTTTTGACGGCTCTAGTGTTTTTTCTTCTATGATGTGTCATTTGCTTTTCATTTTTTGTCGAGATTTTGGTACAAGTTTTGTTTTGATGTGAATTTTCTTTTGTTGATATAGTTGTATGTACCGAATTGAATGTTCGCTTACCAAATAATCGAAAGGAATTCGGTTTGGGGAAATGGAAGAATTGAAATTTTTGTTTCGGTCCAGGTCAGTATAAACGGTTATTTACCAAACCAATCCCAACTCTAGTTTAAACAATGAACCCACACATTAAGTTTGTAGTTTAAGTAGTATAACTCTTCTTTATAATTACAAGAGTAGTGCATCAATTGAGGTATTTTTGTGTTTCTCTATAATCTCATTTTAAATTTGGTTTCTCCTCGCAATTCGCTTAAGAAAACAATGCTAAACTATACTGGATAAAGACCACCTCGTAACCGAACTCATGGTTTGTCTGATAATTGATTCTATGAAAAGCCAGACGAAGTGAGTGTTTCTTAAAATATCCTTTTTTAGGCTGAGTTTTTAGAGGTCTGTGTAAATTTTCTTTTTTCTTTTTCCATTCCGGCTCGAGTAAAACCAGAATAAATTGCAAGTTTTGGGGCCCAATTTTCTGATGTCGCCTTGAGTCCTGCTAGCAAAAGAGTATTAGTGAGGAGACTGATCCATTAATCCTTCTTCTGAGCTTCTCCATCTTCAGGCTCTGTAAAACTGTCGGATTTTTGATAGCTACATATGATTACGGCATGGTTTGCAGCTTCAAGCGAGAGGAGAAGACTTTCCGTTTGATAAAATGGACGACTTGTTGAAGAATAAGACGCTGGCAGTTCATGCAGCTTCAGCCACGGTGTCCGTGGGACTTGGCACTGCTCTTACATACCCGCTTGACACTCTCAAAGTCTTAGAACAGGTAAAAATATGTGATTCTCTCTCTCTCTCTCTCTCTCTCTCTCTCTCTCTCTCCCCCTACATGTCCTCCTCCCTTGCTGTTGTTTCTGTTGCTTAGCTTCTGGGATTGCATTACATTGTTAGAGCGATTTAATTGTTTATACTTGGTATTTTATGCGAATGGATTAAAAACAGGTTGGTTCTAGCTCTAGGAAGTCGTTGACTTTTGCTGATGTTCTTCATAGAGTTCAAGCATTCTCTGGATATTCAGGTAAATTTTAGCTGCGACCCTTTTTCAACAATCCATTCAGATGAATTAAGTTCTTGCTCCCAAATTGACTGGGTAAAAGAGTGAGAACTTTAAGAGCTACGTCATCTCATAATAAACAGCTATATGAGGAGAATTACAACTGGAATTTGTGGGGTTTTCTGCTGTTAACTATCTGTGGGCCATAAAAAAGTGAGCTTAGTTTAGTTTCATAATTGAATCTCATGTTCAGAGTTTAATTTGGCATGCCAGCTTGTTGATGAACTTGATTTCTCGTTCGCTCAACAACCTTATAGTGGTCGCATTCTGTTTTCTAATGAAATACGCAGGGTGAATTGAATTTTAGCTTCTCTTTATTGGTTTGTTCCACACTTTTTCTTCCAACATTATCTTATACCTTGTCGCTTTATCTGTTTTAACTATGTATAAGCTTTGGGATGAGTGTTCCGTTGTCAGATCATCATTATTTCCGTAATGGATTTTAGGTTTGTATAATGGTATTGGATGGATGACCTGTGGAAGAACATTGGGTTTGGGAGCTCGCTTTGGTGTTTATGAGATATTGACAGCATTCTACAAAGGTAAATGTACTTTTATGCATTTCTTTTAGTTCTGGTTTCTGGCCAACTATGTTGCTTGTTCTCTACGTTCTTATATAATTAAGTGTCAGACTGTATAATAGATGAGAGGACCTGGTGAAGGAGTAAAAGTGACTAATGACGTTAGGTGGTCGAAGTCGAAGGAAAATGTGGCATTTGGTTTAGTTATATATTATTATTATTATTATTATTATTATTATTATTATTATTATTATTATTATTATTATTATTATTATTATTATTAACAAACATCCTTATCTGTCTGCATAAGAGCATGCACGTCACATGTTATTCTACATGACCGAGTCATTAATATCTTGTGGCTGAGGCATATTATAACTATTCACATGCTCACTCACTTTTTTTTTTTTCTAACCAGATGGCCGTGAAGATGATTATACACATGTCTCTGAGGCGCTAATGGCCGGACTTGCTGCTGGCATGGTGGAATGTCTCGTAAGCTCTCCATTTGAAATCATCAAACTCCGTGCCCAGGTGGCTTCTGCTTCTCGCATTGTGCAGCCTCCCGCCGTTTCCGAGAAGAACACCATTTCACCTTTAGTCTCGAGATTGCTGCCCAGATATTCTCTGGATATGACGGCAATGAGTAACTCTGTCGGCCTTCTGTCCACCTTGACCCCGAAATACACGAATATGTTTGATGCTCTGAAAGGATATCCCTGGATGATGACAGGATCCGCAAAACCGCCTGCCGTCAGTAGTGTGAGTAAGCCATCGGAAATCCTCTCATTGGAAGGATGGCCTGCTCTGTGGCGAGGACTTAGATCAGGTTTAGTCCGGGATTCTATTTTCGGCAGTGTATTTTTTTCGAGCTGGCAATTTTTACACCAAGTGATGCTGAACTGGAAGGCCGTGGGGATGGATCCTATACCCAGGTTTAATGCTCATCGTTTTTTTATTGTACATTGATGTTGTTGTGGTTAATTAATCTCGGATTTAGCATGACAGAGTGATTCTCTGGCAATTAGCATAAGTATCATATGAGGTTTATTTCTTGTTTGAGCATTTGTATTTTGGAACCTGAAATCTTCATAGTTGTAGCTGGTTAACGAGATGTGAAACTGTTTTTGTCAATTTTGGGATATAGCTGCAACATTTTTGAGCATTATCCATTTTTTCCCCTCTTACTCTAGAAGATGTTGAACAGGTATGATTATGAAGTTGGTCCATTGTCTCCAATAGCTCTCAGTCTTGCAGCTGGAGTCTCCGGTTCAATTGCAGCTGCTGCTTCCCATGGTTTTGACACTACTAGAAGTCGGTCACAGTGCACTGTTCTCCCCAAGGTATGGTGCTCGACTAAAGTAGGGATTTTCCGAACATTAATTTCAGAAGCAAAAATATTCTCTCTTTTTTTTTCCCAATGCTTTTAGGGCTTTTCTTTTTCTTTTTATTCCTTTTTGATGTGTACAAGCGTGTGTTTCGTTGGTGCACAATTGATTGTATAGCCATATAGGTAACATTTTTCTTTTTGTAAATGTAAATGTGCGGAGCTTATTTAAATGTAATGTGATTGTTGATCGATTTAGCTGTAACTATAAGCTAGGACAAAGAAACTTAATGACCGCCTAGGGGTAGAGTTTGAATAGGATTGGGGAGTAACATCATGAAGTGCATGTTAACTGAAAGCACTATTATGTGCGCATTTTAATGTACAAAAGCTAAGCAATGTATGAACTATTTTGAATAACAAATTGTCCAACTTGCTATGTGTCTCCTCTTCAGTTTTAAAAGCATTATGGGTTGGAAAGTGTTAATGTATATAGTTGATAGGTCAGGGAATCAACTAGTGGATGATTGTAATCCCATAGGTTACCCTTAATTGGTTTATTTCCTTCTTTAGTTTACACTTACACTTGTGTGTGTGTGTGTGTAAGTGAATTTTGTACTCTTATGATATAAAATATAGAAATCAATTCTCTACATGGTACCAGAGCCAGTTAGGTTTCAAAAACAGGAAAAGGTTGTCAGTCATTTCTCTGTTGCTCATGAAAATGCATTTTAGGGTGTCTTTCGGGTCTCACCTCCCACCTAGGTCGACTTGTCATTGTTGGACTGGCCTTCTGGCCTGCTGGTCTCTCATGCGCCAGTGTGTGCGGCTGTGTGACGCTGGAAAATTTTATTGTTGCTGTCTGTATGCTTAGATTTCGTGCTCTACCTTCTTTTTGAATTTCTGCTGATTTCTTGTTGTCAGGTTTGATCTTTCTAGGAGTTCTGTTTGTCTCCGGGCTTGTCTCATTCAATTTTTAGTTTTCTTGGAATATTCCAAAGGAAACATTTATGATCTTAGTTCCTTATTCGAAATTGGTGCTTTGAAAACCTTTGGTTATTTTGATATTATTGGTGTATTATTGGTAATTTTGCACTACCTCCGAGTGAACCCACAAACACCTATTACTACTATCGCAGGCGAAGGTAATTTAGCTACATGCTTTGTAATTAAAGGATTTAAGTAGGTTATTGATTCTAGCGCCTCAGGGTAATTCAAACTTCTCTACTTGTTAACCACACCTCCTATTAATGTCGCTCTCCATGGATCCACCCCTCGGGTTCTTGGTTCCATTCTATCGAACTTACACCAGCTATCTTATATCTTTCTACACTGTAATTTCTCCTTGAATATTTTACCCTTGAGCAAACTGACAAATTCTATTGTAGCATTTCATTTTTCCATTGTGTCCTTCATAATCTTTCGATGAAGCTGATAATTGGTAGAGGACGTGAAACTGATGGAGTTTATGTTATGAACATTCTGGAACCAAAATCTCTAGTTTATACCTCTTCGACACTTGACAACACTGTCGCCTGGGCCATTCTTCCCTCCAAAACCTGAAAGAACTTTGTATACAGTTTCAGCACTTACATACTCTGTTGTAAATTATTTGAGTTCGCTGAACATTCTTGTACTACGTTAGGTCCTAGGATAAACAAGTGAGTTGCTTCTCCCTCAATGTTGGTTGATTCTCATGGGCCTCGTTTTGTGTCGTCTCTATCTGAATGATACTTTATTTATCGATGATTTTTCTCAGCTGATATGGATTTATTTCGTAAAAATTGGTTTATGGCCTTCCAATCAAACATTTCTCCTCCTTTTGTGCTGAAATAAAAATCCAGGTTCCACTGCTATTCCAACATTTCGGTGTGATAATGCTAAAGAATTATTTTCTATAGATTTTCAACCTTACATTCTTGAAAAGTAGAATGATATTTTATAGGAAAAGTGGTAACTCAAAAGTAGAATGCTTTACGGGTCACAAAGCTGATAGTTCAACTTTTAGATATTTGTGTCTGTGAGAGGTATCTAGGCTCGTGGAGAAGCGGGAAACAAAATATTGCTTTTGTTTAGTTGTTGAGGCAAAGTCTGTGTATGGCTGATCTAGTATGTGAAATTTTACGTATACACCAGTTACTAGTAGAGCTAAGCTAGGATTAGAGCTTAAACTTCCAACAAAACTTTAGTGTGACAACCAAGCAATGATCCACATCTCATTGAATCTGATATTTAATGAATAGGCCAAACATATTGAGGTATTTTGTCTCTTTGTTTGTGACGAATTCGAAGAGGTATTTTGTCTCTTTGTTTGTGACAGATTCGAAGATGGATTTATCTCGACAAGATATGTTCATCAACAAACTGGGCATAACTGATACATATGCCTCTGGTTGATGGGGAGTGTTAATGTATATGTGCATGGATTGGGAATCAATCAGTGGATGATTGTAATCCTATATATAGCTTTTCTTTTATTAATATTCCTTCTCTAGTTTGCACCTAGACTTGTATGTGTGTCAGTGTACCTTGTACTCGTGACATGAAATATAGATATCCATTCTCTGCAAAAAGTTCTCGACAATCTCTGCCTGCTACAGGGTTCTTATGGATACCATTTGACTGCAAAGAAGAGATTATGAAATGATATAATTGTTCCGTTTTGTGGGTTACCTAGTTTTGTCCCATACTGATGCATTTGCTTGGATTCTGTTTTGCATGTAATCAAATGGAATTCTTTTATTTTTTCCAATTTGGCGATCTGTTGTCATTGGTTTCGTAATTTTAGAGCAGGAATTGTGGTTTAGCCTTTCTAATATACCTGAATTGTCCTTACTATTTTTTACCACCTCTCCTTTTGCATCTTCCGAGATCTTCGTTTCTCTATCTCCAGTAAAAGTAATAAAGACTACAAATCTACTACCCACTTGATTCTTCCCAAGAACACATTAACATAAACTCCCTTATCAATAGTGTCTATATTACTTGTATGCACTTTGTTAAGAAGTGGTTTACTATCTTAAATTGCAATTAGTGCCATCATTTCTACCTCAAGAAACACATGTAATTCCTTACAGTGATGAAAATAAGTGAGTTGACTACACTCACTAGTATCACTATCACCACATATTTCTTGTTTTTCTCCCTCCTTTTCGAAACCGAATTGTATCTAACCTTTTTTTTTTTTTTTCTCTTTTCCTTGTCATTTTTCTTGCAGCATTTAACCATGGAGAGGAAATTTCTGAAGTGGAAAAGACCAGGAAAGAGATTTGAGAGGCTAACTGGGATCCACCCATCCGACAGAAATTTACTGCTCAATGGCATATGGTTACGGATGGCCCGTTGTGGGCTTGCGTCATCCATCATCGTGGGGAGTTATTATTTTGCTATTAATCATTTTGTTTCTAGTTAGAGTTTCTCTAGCTTGCTGGAATTTTGGATAAACAGGCTCACTGGGCTTTTCAAGTTGAGAAATTATTGGGATGACTTTTTTCGGGTAACTGGAACTCCTGTTGTGGGGATTTTGATGAATTAACCGGATGAGGAGAAGATCTTCTATGGTTCCAAATGGACAATGATTTGCAAGTAAATTCAATAATGAATACAACGCAGCATGGAGGTTCCATGGCAACTCCAGACTACAGGTGTAAATTAGTGAATTAGGCCTGCCGATAAAAGTTTATAAGATGTCCATGTATTTTTACTAGAATCAACGGGGTCCCGTTTGAAGCCCAATAGCACATCTACAGTGGACAAGTTCACTCTCAACTAGAGTTGCAAACGAGCCGAGTTGAACATTGGTCTTATCGAGCAGGATTGAATTTTTTTTCTTAGCTGCTCGAGCTCAATTTATGAGGCTCGAGCTTGACTCGAAAATTTATAAGTGAAATTACCAATAAGCACTTGTGTTATGCTATATATATATATATATATAAAATAATTTAATATATATATCGAGCCACTCGATAATGCAAAATTTGGGCTCGATCTCGACTCGAGTTTGTTCATACTCGAGCGCTCGCGAGCGGTTCTTGAGTCGCTCGACTCGTTTGCAGCCCTACTCTTAACCGAATTAGATGCCGCTACAATTGCTGAACACCTTGGAGAAACATAATTTTTCTTTTTCTATTTTTTGGAATTGTTATCGAAATGTTTTGCCAGTTCCGTTTTCTAGTATATTCAACTTTATAATATTTGATAATTTAAAATATAAATTAATGTGAGTAATTATAATATTCGAAAATTTTATAAAATATCATAATTATTTTTATTGTTAGTTATAGTATTCATTATGTTTTTTCGTTTTTAACATCATAATAACATTCAACCTTTCAATATACTTTATTTAAGTAAGAGACATGAATTTATAGAATTTTTATTTACATTCATTTTATGTCATTATTTACATATTTTTTTCCCAATTTCATAGAAAATTATACTAAAACAATATTTTATGATATATTAATATAAAAAAATTATAATTGTATAAGATAATCAATTGTTTTATTTTATATTTTAATTGGAATTGATAAGTAAATTAAATTTATATATAATTCTATTCAATATAGATGTCGAATTTAAAATCGTTAATATAGGACTACTTTGATATGTCATATACGAACTATTAAATAAAAATAAGAAAAAAGATTAAGATAAGTATGAGACATGTTTATTTAAAAAAAAAAAAAAAAGATTAAATATTAAAAGATAAGAATGAGACATGTTTATAGTAATTAAGTCATGGATGAAATAATAAGGGAAAGGCTAACGTCCCGTCACAGAATCATTATGTCGGGTTTTGTAATCGTTAGATCATCATGTAAGTGTCAGAGATAGTTGATCTAACGGTTACAAACCCCAATGGAATGGTTCCGTAACGGTCCGTAGCATCTTCCAAATAATAAAACAACATTTCATATATGATAACTTAGGAAAAGAAAAGAAAGAATAATTTATGATAATTTTCAACCCCTGTTGGTAATATCCGAGTCTAAACATGTGGGGCAATAAGAAGCATGAAATTCTTGCAAGCAACCAAAATAAGTGTGTGAAACTACCACTTAAACTCAACATTTTATGAAATTATACACTTAAAAGATAAAGTATTATATTGTGTATATAGGTATAGACTCTAATAGTTTCAGGAGTAGTAACTTATTTTGCATCTATACAACTACCAATTTATCATTTTCCAATATTTATCAGTAAATAATTTTTATTGTGTTGCACTATTTAGTCCCCTCCTAATTTTGCAGAGTGCTTAGATATAAGAATCTTATTTTCCAAGGTTTCTCCTAAAGAACTGAAGACTGCAACAAGAACACAATAATCTACAAATATAGACTGCAGCTAATGTAAAACATATAAAACCAACCATCTTCCAAGGCCAGAAAATGAAGTAGATATAATAGGTACACATTAAACACTAATTCCTCATGTGAAAGAATGCATGCATTTAATCTGGAGAGCATGCATAATTCGATTCTTCCGAACAAAAACTGACTCTTTGCAATATATGCAGAATCAAACAGTAGTAGGTTCACAGGTTTATACTGTGTCTGAGAGTATTTAATTGATAACTAGTAAGCTATACCAGAATTTCCAGAAGTGAAAGAGTAAAGCAAGAGCACGACAATTATAACGTTTGAATCAAAGCCACGCGTGCACGCAGACTGCAGAGCAAGCGTTTGCTATTATCATATACTAGTTACTTTCCGAGAGAAGGCAGAGTATGTACGTACGAGCAAAAACAGAAATGTATCATGGTTTATCCATGGCAGAGATGTTTAGTGTGATATCAAGCAACTGTTTATTCTTGTATACCTTCTCTTTCATCTTGAGGCATGTTAGTAGATACAGGTAGCCTTCTAAGGTCAATCAGACAGAATTTACTGCACCATTTTTTTCTAGTTCGGCATCGAGCCATCCTGTATTTTTTTTTTCCACAAAGCAAATAAGTGATTTAGATTAATTCCATCATAATTAGAAGTTCAATTAAGAGAAGAAAAGCTTATGTAATTTGCGGGCTTATTAAGTTAGAAAGTGATACTCACAGTCACAGAAGATTGTTCGGTTTGCTGGGATGAGGATGGTGATTCAGCCACGACATCAGGAGCTGCTGCTGGTAGTACTTCTTGTGGTTCTGTTGGTGGTTCTTCTTGTGCTGCTGCTGCCGATGTTGATGCTTCTGATTTCTTATTTTTCGGCTTTTAAAAGAAGTGGAGAAAAAATGTTTTATTTCGATTTTTTTATGGCAAAACAAAATGAAATGTAGAAATGAAACAGTATATACATAACCATAAGTGATGAAATAAAGTTCAATATATTTCAATCCAAATTAATTCCCAAAAAAGATTGTGTCCGCGTGTGTGTGTGTAGAGAGAGAGAGAGAGAGAGAGTACCAGACAACCCCTGCGTTTCCTGAGTGATTCACGAGGACGGCCTTGTGCCTCGGTGAGAGTTGGGAACTGTTGAATTGAAATCATGTTTCACAGACGCATCAATTTTTTATTAAAGCAAAAACAAAAATGCAATACGCTTTCAGCCGTGTGTTAAGTTTATTTTCACATAAATAACAGAAAAAAAGAGAAAAATAACCTTCAGTTCAGTACAATAATCTGCTGTGTTATGTGCGTGTGCGTGTGGATCAGTGCATGAGAGAGAGAGAGAGAGAGAGGGTTGACCTGGCATGCAGCGTCGATGCAATCTGTAGAAGAACAATGAGGACACCCCTCAGGTTTGCGCTCGCCAAGCACAATCGGCATTTCACCAGCTACGGCGACCAAAAATTATTAAAATAAACTCTGGATCAACCAGCAGCTGGAGTGAAGTTATGTACTGAGACGATTTTGGTACCTTTTCTCTCTTCGGCCAGCAGAGCTCTCCTTTCCTCCTCAGCTCTCCTTAACTCCTCCAGAACAGCTCTCCTTTCCTCCTCAGCTCTCCTTTCCTCCTCAGCTCTCCTTAACTCCTCAGCTCTCCTTAACTCCTCCAGAACAGCTCTCCTTTCCTCCTCAGCTCTCCTTAACTCCTCCAGAACAGCTCGCCTTTCCTCCGTCACCACAACTCCGAAATCGGCCAGCTCTTCCTCCTCCGGCAGGCGCAGCAGCTGCTCTTCGCGGAATCCACCCGGTGGTGATTTGCTTGGAACGTGTCGGTTTTCCATGGACATGACTCGAAATTGATCGTCTGACGTAGAGTTACTGCATATTCAAACCAAAACGCCAAAAAAAACTCAAATCAAATTCAAAGTCCAAACAATTTTTCCGGTCAATGAACTGAAATCAGAAATTTCACGGCGTAATAAATAAAAAATCCGATCGGCTGCAGATGAGAGAGAATCCAAATCAGAAAACTCAATTCAAAGTCTACATCCAAACACCAGGATATCAACTACAGAATAAGCATACAGAATCTTCGTTGAAATAATTCAATCCGCGCCATTCTACAAATTCAAAAAAATCTCAGAGTACCGCGCAGCCAAACTTCGCCGCAGAACTTCAATACAAAACACGAAGAGAAAATTCGCGAACTAGGATTCATAATCATAAATCTCGTATAATCATATCAAACTGGGAAAATCAGAAATACAGCGTGATTCAGAACTATCCATCGTACGAACAGCAAAACAGAATTAACGCGAACTGTAAATGAAACGCGGATCATGACCTGGTGAGATTGAGAGCTTTCTGTGTGGCGAGATTGAATCGGTATGAATCTGTGAATGGAGAGCGAAAAAAGCAGAGGATCAGCAGTTGGGAACTCAGCTCGAGGCTTGCTGCCTCTTCACAGTCTTCTCCGATTTCCTATTGCGCCATAATTTTGAAACTCGAGCGTTCAGTGCGCCACTTATACTGTTTGGGGGAAAGGGCAATTTCGTCCAGGCGGTCATTTGTGAAATGACTTTTTTCCGTTCGTAATAATATGTATGACTTGATACACGTATGATTCAAAAAATCCTCCCAATGCGATGAGTATACGTGGGTGTTTCTGGTGCTTCGAAATTCTATTTGACAAAAAATTATGCTTTGTAATTAGGTTTAGATAAATAATATTTATATATTAATAATTAATAATTTAGGTTCGGACATTCCATAAATATTATGCTTCGTAATTAGGTTTGGACAAAAAATATTTATATATTAATAATTAATTAATAATCTAGGTTCGGATATTTTAAATATTATTTAGTTAACTTAAGTATTTTAATCTCATTTGTACTAATATAACTCTTTAATTCTTTATAATTCTACATAGTGAGAACTAAGTGACTAATATATCCCTCACTTTTGATTTGTTTCCTACAATTAACTATTGATCTTTAAATATATTTTAAAAGTTGATAACTTTTGTATTTCTTGTGGGTCTTACATATATGATATATTAAATTAGTCATCTTTTGATGATATTCGA